TAGAAAATTATATGGTGTGACTAAGCTCGTTGAGATAAACGAAAAGTTTATTGCACCTTTCCGATTGGATGCGTTGTTTAAACAATATGACGAATAAACTGTTTGCAAAATCGACCAATCAGATAGAGTTATGCGACGTAGAGGAGTGGCCTTATGTAGTAGAAAGAGAAGAGAGGCAAGTAGTAGAAGCAGGCAAAAAAAGGAAGGCTTGTTTGTAGTGAGAACATGATATTGATCAACTAGGGTACAGGTCTATACAGCAGGTATTTTACCTGCTTAGGGTGAAAAAAATAGCGGGCTTTTGAAAACAAAACAAGACTATGGTCGATAATAAACTGATGGTAAGGTAGTGAGCGTGTAGTTAATTTTTGTAAATAGGCGCTAAGTACTTGGTTTTTTTTTTTAGTAACTAGATAATTTATTTTAGAAGACGGTACAAAAATACAAGTAGTAAATAAATAAAATGCTATTTATTATTACTTTGCACACTTTCAATAGCATGGTGAACAGTCATTCGTGGTATTTTGTAACTAATTCTAACAGTATCAATATGTAAATAATCAATCATCAGTGTAGAGTATTTAAGTAATTTTTTATCACAACACCATGAATTATTAAGAAGCAGGCGATGGTGACTCAGTGCTAATAATCCTAATTTAAAAAAAGAAACTTATTTTATTTAGTATTAAAAAGCAGGTGGGTAATTGCCAGCGGTAAACAACTTTCATAATTGTTATTTTTATTCAATGAACTGATGACAAGGCAGCAGGAAAGTATCGCTGCAAAGGAATTCTACCGTTTTTAGTGAACAAGTATCAGCAGTAATTGTCATAACTATTTTTTCTCTATGTTATTAACCATTATTAAGAGGCAATCGAGCATCGATGCCAAGTAGCTCTCTTTTGTTTTAGTATGTTAAATAATTACAGATGAAAATGTTTTTAAGCACTCAAAAACATTAATCATTTTATTACTCTTCCTTCAGTTATGAATGAATAAATAAACGGCCATTTAACACGGACATTAACGAACTTTCTAGTTTCCACAAGAAATTTTATTTATTTGAGTACTCACTTCATAAGCTGCAAGCAAGCCCAGGCAACCAGTAAGGTCATTATTTTTACTTTTCACTCTTGAACGATGAATTGATCCCTATTGTGTTTTTCTTTAGTTGCTCAGGAAAAATAAAAAAAGTTGCGAGTGAGCCCTTCTGTTCTCCAAGTGTAAATGTTATTATTTTTTAATTTTTAATTACAAAGCCCGTTAATAATCAGTACTAGTTAACTTAAATGTTAGTATTTATTTTCGACATTTATTATTAATGTGATGGTGAATAGTTTTATTATTTTCTTTGAGTGCTGATGAATAAATAGCTGTAAGACATAGGCTCTGACTTACTCAATTATTTTTATTTGATTCCTCAATTAAAGTGTAAAAACTTACAAGCTGTCTTCGGCACTCTGCTAGCCGATTGGTTAATTATTTCATTAAGTGAAAGATAAATGAATGAATAATCGTGAATCGTCAGCACAGATTCCATGTTACATTTTTCTTTAATAACTTTAAAAAAAGTAAAAAGGTTGCGATCGATACTGCTGTGTAAGGTAAGTGTAAGAATTTGAATTTTTTTATTCATGATTACTTATTAATGCCGTAGTAAGCAAAACCCGGCACTGAGTAAGCTCATTGATTTTATTATTTTCTCTTGCACAAAAATTAAATAAACGACTATAAAACATAAGCTCTAGAGTTGTTTAATTATTTTTTTTTTAGTTCCCTAACTGATATGTAAAAAATTGTGAAGTGAGCTTCGGTGCTCAGTTGGCCCATTGGATGTAAATTTGTTTGAGGTAATGAATAATGTGTTAGCGAAGTGGATTAGATGGATTATTAGGGTCTCAAAGACATTGGATTAGATCAAACTTGGAATTTTTTTTTTTTTTTTTTTTTTTTTTTGTCAAATGTAATTTCAATTACACAAAATCAGATATTTATTTTAGCGAACAGTCGCTTTATTTTCTTGGGCAGCATGATTCGCTGTTCCACCATAAGTAGGTAGGTACGTACGTGACGCGCAATCCTGCGCACGATTGATAACTTCTTATTTTGTTCAAGTCTAAAAAAATGTGATAACTTTGCATAGATAAAGCAAGCGATGCATTAAGCTGGGTTACTGTATGTCATTCACCAGTAACAAAATGTTTAATGCATGGCTGTTCAGCGTTCTTCCAAAGAAATATTTTTTGTACAATTTTTAAAACAACATCAAGGTTCTATCGAGATTAGATGCGCTTCTTTCTATTACATGTAGCCTATACCATCTTTAATCTTGTTTTGCGAATACATAAAAATCCCCTCTTCTTTTATTTTTCATTTCCTGTAGGTTACATAAGCTTGAGCTTCAGAGGTTTTTCCTAAACATATATCAAATCTTAACGTCTATTTTCACTAAACGTCACAGCGCAGTTGGCTAAACGCATCTTTTTGGTCCATAGGTATCGAGTTCGAACCACCTTGGGAAATTTTTCTTTTCCTTTTTCTTTCTGTTTTTCTATAAAAGCCATTTTAACAACATACAAGTCATTACCTCGTTAGGCGAGCTGTCATTTTAATTTTTTGTGTGCTGCTTATTCACCAGCGTAGTTCTTTTTCTAATTTTTACTTTGTATAAATCAATTGCATAAAGTAATTTTTTGCAATAGTGTGCGGAAAATAGGTGTTTTCCGCACTGGCCACATGTAACAGAAAGAAGCGCATCTAATCTTGATAGAACCTTGATGTTGTTTTAAAAATTGTACAAAAAATATTTCTTTGGAAGAACGCTGAACAGCCACGCATTAAACATTTTGTTACTGGTGAATAACATACAGTAACCCAGCTTAATGCATCGCTTGCTTTATCCACGCAAAGTAATCACATTTTTTTAGACTTGAGAAAATGATCCTAGAAAATTATATGGTGTGACTAAGCTCGTTGAGATAAACGAAAAGTTTATTGATCAGTGTAATGTGAGTTTCTTATACAGTATATGTTTTGAATATATTAAAAATTGTTTTTATTTTTAAAACCCCACACACTACCCGCACCTTCCACCTTTACAATACTTTTATTTGTTACATGCTAAGTGACTAAGCAGAGTCGGTACTTGGACCACCCTCCTAAATTTCCCTCCTCCGTAAAAAAATTGTTTTTACCAACCTGGCAGTATGGGTAATTGAATTCAAATTTCGCGCGAAATCCGACACCATTATTTACAAATCTTTGGCAAGGGCTATTGAGTTATTGGTTAGAATTCTCTCGCCCCTCCGGTCACGTAACGTCTGGCCAAAATGGGACCCCTGGCCACGCCTCCGGCGCCAGGCGTATGACATATATCTATGGAAGTGTCTAATAAAGTAGTACCCTTATTACTAACGGCCTTTTAGGCCCAACAACTGTTTAATAGCGTAAGGAACGCACGGTACGCTTCAGCATCATTATATTTTTAAAATTTTTTACATCGTATTATTTGACGAAATAAACTGCATGGATTCCAATCAAAAATGTTTTTAATAGAAAGTTTTTAGTTCTAAAAAGTGTCAAGAATAGATGCAAAGTTTTAACTGAAAACGTTTTACATTACGTGTCAACACACTACGGTGTTCCATTTAGTGAGTCTTGGGTGGGAAACTGCTAGTCACTCTCTACATAGATGTAGGTTTGACGGTTATGAAAAATTTTGACAGGTCGTTGTCAATTGTCATTAACTGTGAATTTTTTCTGTTAGGGTAGAGTCATGACCGTCAGTTGACCAGCTCATATCACTGATGAAAGGCCAGTTATTGTGGAGCACGAACAGAATCAATAAAATAGCGTTGATTTATATATCTATATTTTTAGGAGCATAAGCTTAGTCGATAAAGTATATTTACACTTACTTTCCTCAACTGCAAGTACACGGTTGTTGTACATCGAAATTAGTATTTCAGGATACCCACGGTCTCCAACTTTTGCTGTCAAACAGATCTTTTGGTTATCTTTACATGCATATAGATCTATATGCCAATGCTTTCACTTCTGCTTCTGCTCCACCGTGAACAACTTTTGAGTTTGTTAATGTATCTATATAGTAACATTAGAAACATGAACATGCTTGCGTTTTGCTTTATACAGCTCTTGGTACCCACAGTTGAACGTGATAGTTATGTTGTGGAAAGTGGGCAGGGATTGAGTTAAAGTTACGGAGGGGGTACTATTCTCCTCCTCATAAGGAAGAGATTGAAAGAGAGTGAACCTGTCCAAAAGCTTGTGCAGAAACGCTTGAAGAGTGAGACATATCGCTTATAGCCACTTAAGCAAACTAAGATAAAATATTTATATTCTGGTTCTAATTTACTGTTAGTGATGCCGATTTAAATTGCACAAGTATAATCAGAGATAGTTGGAGAGTTTGTAAGATTTGGATTGCAAAAGCAAAAAATTACTTTAAATAATAGTAGTAGTAGTAATAAGGCGTAATATGCACACACTTTCAAAGTTATGTTTATTAGTACTTGTGAATTTGTATTTTTAACTGAAGTACATGATTTGCATCAACATGGAAGAATATGTGCAAAGCGTTATTGGTTAGTTCCTTTGTATTTATAAAATAGGAGCTCTTTTTTTGTTTTTTTATCTGTTTACATTAAATGACTTTTGTTTTCTTATGATATTGCTTTCACATATTATTTTGGTTAGAGCCCATGGACATGCCAGCTACCATTTCGACTGAGGAGGGTAGTGATAGGAGTTTGTCCACATGACAAATAAATATAGATAACTGTTAAACATTAGTAGATTAATATTTTAACTACTGCACTGCAGTTCATGGTTGTCTGTAGCGTTGTGCAGTTGCTTGCAATTACCCCTGATTATTCGCAGTATTTTGCTGTAGACTTGTAGCAGACATGTATGTTTCATAAAAAAAATGTAGATGTGCTGTCTAAAAAAACAACTAATTATTTTTTTATTTTTATAGCTTAAACATGTCAAGCACGTATATTGTAGAGCACAAAAAGGAATGTTCCAAAAAAGATGATACCCTTATTCTCATGGTAAACGACAGTGGAATCATTTCCGTTGACCAGGACACTCTGCAAAGTCTAATACGTAAGTGTTGAAAGGTGAAATAGTCGTAATCCCTCTAAAGCTATGAAATTTGATGTGAATTGTTATTGTTATACACTGAAAAAAATTCGACCTAGTCAACAATCCTGTACCAAGATTAGCTAAGATGAATAAGTTTGATGGTAACGCAAATAAAAGTGATATTGCCTCGAAAGAGTACATTATTTACTGTGGCTTTTCAGAGCTTGGCTTTCTCTTTCTCTACTGATTTTATTTGTGTGCCTCTTTGGCTCGATATTACTTGCATCTACCACAGTAAGTGTACTGATTACACAAAACGTCAGTCACACTTTTTATGTATTTAAAAAAAAAGCTTATACAAATGTCGTAAGGTAGTACTTCTAAGTTAATCATACTATTTTCTTAGTTTGGGTGCGTTACGTGTCTAAATACCAGGCAATCAACCAGGTGAGAGAGAAGTCTGCTGTTTTTTTGCTCGCAGCTCGCCCAAAGCTACCGAGTGGATTTTGCAACTAACAGTGTGGTTGAGCTAAAAGCTTTTATTATGTAATAAGTCAGTTTCTTTCACAAGACCTTGGTATGGTATTCTTAGACTTACCGAATTTTTTTTAGTGTCTACGTTTACCAAAAAATGTACTGAATTACAACGTTAACCTTTTTCACCGTTTTCTCAATCTCTTTTAATCGCTCTCCTCCGCCCTTTGTATTTATTAGGGTTTGTATTGCGCAAGTTTTTCAGCTTTACTACTAGATTACAGTCTGGGAGCCGACCGCAAAATGACTTAGCTCATAAAGGTCCGGTTCAAATTTTGCAATCTAACAAGATTTACACTTGTCTAGACAATAGGCCAAGGCAACCCTATGGGTCGCGTGCACGTAATAAACAACATGGCAATTTGCCATGCAAAAACGGCCCCGCACTGAGTTCATCAGGCCTGGTGTATTTTTACAGAAAATTTTAGGTTAAGTTTTGCCTTTTAAAGAGAAAATGCTTTGCCCAGCAAGAGGCTTGCAATAAGCAGGGTTTCCTACTTTGAAAATATGAAAAAATTAAGCGTTTTATCAGCTTTTTTCGAGTGAATATTGAGCAACTTTCTTCTTATTTGTCATCCTTAACTCACTCAATGTAAAATTATATAAAGCATACAGAGAGAAGTGGATAAATAATGTTTAAAATACTGAAAATTTTGCGTAGTATGTACACAGGGTGTATCGAAAATGATCCTAGAAAATTATATGGTGTGACTAAGCTCGTTGAGATAAACGAAAAGTTTATTGCACCTTTCCGATTGGATGCGTTGTTTAAACAATATGACGAATAAACTGTTTGCAAAATCGACCAATCAGATAGAGTTATGCGACGTAGAGGAGTGGCCTTATGTAGTAGAAAGAGAAGAGAGGCAAGTAGTAGAAGCAGGCAAAAAAAGGAAGGCTTGTTTGTAGTGAGAACATGATATTGATCAACTAGGGTACAGGTCTATACAGCAGGTATTTTACCTGCTTAGGGTGAAAAAAATAGCGGGCTTTTGAAAACAAAACAAGACTATGGTCGATAATAAACTGATGGTAAGGTAGTGAGCGTGTAGTTAATTTTTGTAAATAGGCGCTAAGTACTTGGTTTTTTTTTTTAGTAACTAGATAATTTATTTTAGAAGACGGTACAAAAATACAAGTAGTAAATAAATAAAATGCTATTTATTATTACTTTGCACACTTTCAATAGCATGGTGAACAGTCATTCGTGGTATTTTGTAACTAATTCTAACAGTATCAATATGTAAATAATCAATCATCAGTGTAGAGTATTTAAGTAATTTTTTATCACAACACCATGAATTATTAAGAAGCAGGCGATGGTGACTCAGTGCTAATAATCCTAATTTAAAAAAAGAAACTTATTTTATTTAGTATTAAAAAGCAGGTGGGTAATTGCCAGCGGTAAACAACTTTCATAATTGTTATTTTTATTCAATGAACTGATGACAAGGCAGCAGGAAAGTATCGCTGCAAAGGAATTCTACCGTTTTTAGTGAACAAGTATCAGCAGTAATTGTCATAACTATTTTTTCTCTATGTTATTAACCATTATTAAGANTATTCATTACCTCGAACAAATTTACATCCAATGGGCCAACTGAGCACCGAAGCTCACTTCACAATTTTTTACATATCAGTTAGGGAACTAAAAAAAAAATAATTAAACAACTCTAGAGCTTATGTTTTATAGTCGTTTATTTAATTTTTGTGCAAGAGAAAATAATACAATCAATGAGCTTACTCAGTGCCGGGTTTTGCTTACTACGGCATTAATAAGTAATCATGAATAAAAAAATTCAAATTCTTACACTTACCTTACACAGCAGTATCAATCGAGCAGGCTCGATCGCAACCTTTTTACTTTTTTTTGACAGATGTTCTGCAAGACAGTACTGATTACGACGTTGACGACTATGATACTGACAACATGGTTTTTAAAGATGTGGTTGACCATATTGTGTGCGAGTAACAGAAGGTACCTATTTAAATAAGTACAAAAAAATTGGCAATATACTGCATTGCTACTGTTTATTTTTTGTCGAATGATGGCGAAACTGCAACGATCATCGACATTTACAAACTTTATTTGTGAGTGCACTACGGCTCAGTCGACTAGATCATGTGCTAGCACGCGGAAGATCGTGGTTTGATTCCCGGCTAGTGTGATAATTTTGGTCAAGTACCTCTGTGATTTTTACACCTGCTTTTTTACCTGCTCTTAGCGGACGAGATGGGTGACCTCAACGCAGCGAAACTTTTTATTTTTCTCCTTACCCTATCCTAGTACTGGGTGGCCACCTATCCCTCTTTTTGTCCCCTTCCAAAGTGTCGAGTGCCTTAAGTAGTGGATCCTTCTGGTACCTGGATGTAAGACACTATAATATACAAAAAAAACTATGTTTGTAACAAACGGTAAACCGGAAGTTTGTTTTTAATTGTTATCTGGTTAAAGAATGTAAATACCTATACGTATGTTTTCTCGATTTATTCGGTGTTTTTCATCGCTTTTATGGTTGTGATAATTTTTTTGATAGATGAACGAAATCGCATTTAACTGTCTTAATATAATTTTAAACATGGTTTGCACTATCCAGCTGAATTTATTTTATTTTATGTTAAGTGACCCAAGGATGACAAGTAAGAAGAAAGTTGCTCAATATTTGCTCGAAAAAAGCTGATAAAACGCCAAGTTTTTTCATTTTTTTGAAGCAGGAAAACCTGCTTTTTGCAAGCCTGTTGCTAGGAAACCCATTTTTATTTTGAGAAGCATAACTAAACCTACAGTTTCCTGCAAAAATTAACCAGGCTCGAAGAACTACTTGCGGGGCCATTTTTTGCGTTCTTCGTAAAAGGGAAACCCTGCTTACTGAAAGCCTTTTGCTGGACAACCCACTTTCCCTTAAAAAGCTATTACTACACACACACAATCTCCTGCAAAAATAAACCAGGCCTTGATGAACTCAGTGCGGGGCCGTTTTTGCGTTGCAAATTGCCATGTTGTTGATTACGTGTACGCGACTTATAGAGTTTCCTGGGCCTATTATCTAGACAAGGTGAATCCTGTTATATTGCAAAGTTGCAAGCGGGCCTTTATGAGCTAATTGATTTTACGGTCGACTCTTATCAGCACATCCTTGTCTAATTACGAGCTTATAGAAAGTTTTCTTTTAACTGTGTATAATCGATCGATTACATACGATAATCGGTTTAGTTTAGTATGTTGGCCTATGTTAGACGATTCAAATGCAGCTTCTCATGAGCCTAGTGCTAGATAAATTTTTGCTGGTAAGCAAAAGTAAAGCTAAAAAAACGCAAAACTATCTTTAGGATTGTCCTACTCAATTGTATTTTTGTTTCCCTTAACGTGTACCTATTAGATACATTTTCATTTCAGTCAACCAATCGAACGCTAATGTTAGCGTAGTAAAATTAGGTCAGATAGGTGACGATGTGGTTAAAGGAAATATTACGCTGACTGTTGATCCACCAACCTTCGTTTCTGGCAATGCATCCGACCCTGCTACTCTAGTTGACCCATTCATGGAAATGGATTCAGAACAATTAGAGCGACTTGAAATAGCACTTCAAAGTGAAGAGGCCAAGCAGATACTCGGTGAAAATGTCACCGCAATGCTTGGTAAGTCTTGGTATACTCCAGTTTTAAAAAAACTTTTCTTTACTTTTCCTAAAAATAACTACATTTTTATCTGTCTAGTCTATTAACTTAAACCTAATCAGAAATTTTCTGTTAATAGACTTGCTGACTGTTGAAGAACAACAGAATTCTATAAAGCACAGCATTGAGCTAGATCATTGTTACACTAGCAGGTTTTCATCTTTACAGTCCCAGATTGCAGATCCAGTACCTGATGACAGTTGTACTGGCATGAGCGAATCTGTTGTTATTGATCATAACGACTTATTAATGGAGGATGATCTAGAACAAATATCGGCAATATCTTCCAGTAGCTGCAGCACTGTCCCCACAGCTCTGGTTAAACAGAAAGTCATATCCATTACTTCGAAAATTGTTCAGCAGCCAAACTTGTTTGTGAATCGATCCAAGCGAGCCTTGAATGCAAGCAAACTGCAGTGTATAACAACTCCTTCGAAGCTACTTAGTAGCAGCACCGATGCACATAGAATCTTAACACAAGTAGAAGGTAGAACAAGTTCTAAGGTTATAGTAGATCAGGAAATAAATGATCAGAGAACAGTGCAACAGCAACTGCTGGAGAAGTCTGATAATCAACTGTTTTCATCATCTGAATCTTCCGCGTCTGACTCCGACAGCGATAGTGACTTTGGACCTTGGTCTCCTAGAAGAGGCATCCGGGCCAGAGGAGGCCGTAGAGGCCTTACAACTAGAGGTGGCAGTATGGCGGCCCTCCGTAGGCGATGTTCCAATAAGCTGATTGATAATGAGCAGGTTCGCCGCCTCGACTTTGAGATGGTAGAGACTGGAAGCACGATGAAGAACTCTGATAAAGAAGAAAAGTTAAACAAACACAGTTCTAAGTCACTAAGTCGGACAGTTAAAATTATTTCACCTAAACGAAAAGAAGATTCAGTGGTACTAATAAGAACGCCTTCACAAGAGCAGCTGATTCCATTACGGACACAATCCCAGACAAAATTTCAGACAATACACTTACTGACGCCATCGCAGATACAACTGGAGCAACAGCCATTACCGCCACAACTACTACCAGTATCACCGTCTTTAATGAAACAGAATGTGTTGCAGATTATGAATAAAGTTAAAACAAACAAAATTAAAGAGGACTCATTGTTCTCAAATTTAAGCCTAGATCCAGCCAGAAATATTCCATTCGCTCAAAATCAAACTGGTGTAAAAAAAGGTAACGTAAAATATCCTTCGTTCAAGAAGCATTTAATTATTCAAAAAAATATATGTATTACAAGTGAAAGTTTAAAAGTTCCTATGTTTGAAGATGTCAAAGTCCCAGACTTACCTGTAACTATGGAAAAAGGGTTAGCATCGCTCAATGTGCATCATTTTGCTAGTAACGATGTAAATCTTAAGACTATTAGTTCTTGTCAGAAAACTGAACTACTTGCAGAAGCTAAGAATTGTCAAAAGTCCACAGATAGTAAGAAAGAAAAGAAAAAAGGAGATAACATTTCTGATACATGGCATAAATCAAGTGTTGAAGAAACCCAACTCTCTGATAACAAAGTATCTAATGGTGAAGAACTGTTGCCATTTTTTTACGTTGTTTGCCTTAGCAAAAAAATGACCTAATAGTTGAAAATTTTAACTTTTTTAGTTTAGATCATAAAATAAAAAAAATAATGATAATAATAAATAATAATCAAGTAACTTTAACAAAATTTATTACGGGTTTAATTTAACACTTTTCTTTTTTTTTGTAGTTGTCAAAAAAGTTATTAAAAAAGAATACCGTAAGTCAGACGTTTTAGTCGCTGAGGCTCTAGGTCCAGCTTTATTCTCAACTCCAGACATTATACGTCGTGTTGGCTCTAATTATGAAACAAAAACTTCAGAGAGTCCTGCCGCGTCATTAATTTCAGCCACACCCTTACTGCCTTCTACAAGTGATGTAATTCCATCAATAACCTCCACAAATATAGTTCATGAGCAAGTAGAAAGAAGTCCGCCTCTTGACATTCCTGCAAATAAAATAGTTACTAAGTTCAGCAGTGACACACCTGTTCTAGTAGGCCCTTTAGAAGATAATAAGATACGTAAGCAATCTGAAGTATCAGACTTGATTCCTTCTGCAACAGATTGTGGTTAGTATTTCTCAATGATACAGCAAAAATTATTGTAAGTTTGTTTCATTTTAAAAAACGAATGAAAAAAAGTCATTTATAACTAAACAGTCATTAATCATAAAAATTCTTTTATATTAAAAGTCTTTCTCATTAAATATTTTGACACACAAGTGCCAATCTTTAATTTGCTTAAATTATTATAACTAATTTTGTACGTAATCCCGTTATTTAACTTTAAACATTAAAATTAATCTAATGATTGAAATACTTTGATGGTTACGTAATATTTAGTTAACTTACAATCTGTTTCAATTTTTGAAAAACTTTTTTGTATTACTGCCAAATACAATTTATAAGGTAGTTCTTGCAACAACAGATCATAGTAGTATTGCTAAACTTGTTTCAGAAAGTAAGCTCATTTTTTTTGGCTACTAAACTTTAATTTTTAATTTATATTTTAACGACGTAAACGATATAAATAATTAATTTTATGATATATTAATTATTGTACTGTGAGCTTTATTACTATATGACTGTTACTCAGTACAAACGAAAAAAAAAAAAATTTATTAAATTAAAAATCATGTAATAATCGTTGTGTAACCCTCAGTTACAGGTAGAATCGAAGCTGACGAACATTTGCTGGCTACTTTAGGAGTGGAAGTAGATAAGCAACTACCAAATGATGAACTATTAGCAGAGGCTTTATTGTTACAAGAAACCCTTGGTGCGGATTTAGAACACGTAAGTTTTCACTTGATTGCGCAAAGTATCAGTTTAAAAAGTATTTGACTAGGACAATGTGACCTGTGCCACGTATTAATCGATTACTGTTTCAATGAAGTATGGAATCATGTAGTGTTTTGTAGTTTTTTTCCCTTAAAAACTACGCTAGGTACTTAATGAAGGCTCAGTGTTTTTGTAATAATTCTGAGATAACAGTTAAATCTAAAATATGATAAATAAAAGCGTTGAGTAACTACGTAAATTTTTTAAATATTTATCATCACACGCCTCTTTTTATCTATAGAATGTTAAATTCTGGAATAAATAGAATGTTAGATTTTGGAAAGTATAAGTGTCCTGATATTATCAGAATCACTTCCACAATAGGATGCACTTAAAATTATGGTGTCGAACCTAGCAGAATGGTAAAATCAATTCAAATTCAAATCAAAAGTTGACTACCTTATTCTGAAAGTTAATTTTCCAGATATAATTCTTATTTTCTTATTCTGAAAACTTAATTTTCCAAATGTTTTTTTTAAGTTGTAAAGTAAATTAAGAATCAATTATTTCTGTGTTGCAAAATTTGACATTTGAATTGTTAATTAATTAATCTATTTTATTTAATTTTATTGATTTATTTTGTCGAGTACGTGCCAGAGCATTTAGCATGCCAATATATTAGTGGCAGTACATGTAATATCACCTCACTAACAGCCTTGATAAAGCTTATTTAGATTAGTTGATAACTTTATCAACTGCTATTTTACTGCAACTTTTCTGTCTCATTTCCTAATGATCTAAAATAATTTTTGTGAATATTAGCATTGTGTATAAAAGTAGCTGTAATATTCATTAATTATAAACAAAAGTTAAAGTAGGGCTGTCAGTAAGCTAGAAACTTTCGTTGGTATGCTAAATGCTAAAACTGTATTAATAGAATTTTTTGGCATCAAAATCTTTATACTCTCACATCTTAGTGCACATAACAATTTTGACACATTTCGGCACTTTCACGTTAGTAGGATATGTGATAAAAAAGCATGTTATGTCAATAACATAATTTATAAAAATTAGGTGGATTTTCATCTAATTTTTACTAGTTGGTGTGTAAGTCTTAGAACCATATCAAAATAATGATCTCACTAATATACAAAGCAAAGTTCCAAAAAATGTTCTAATCACTCACTGCGAAGACTATTTAACTAATGCTGAAATTTTGCATACTATTTAATTCTTGACACGTTCTGGATATTTGTTGACGCTTTAAGTCAATCGAATTATTGACTATCATACGTGGAGCAACTGCCACAAATTTTGCCATGGTTGATAGTAAAGGAAAGAAAAACAAAATAAACAGCAAGAACAATTTTCTGAACTTATGAAACGAAATTGACTTTATTTGTTTTACCTTTCGAAAGGTCTCGAATAATATAGTTGCCTGGCTGCTCGCAAAACACACACCTATTATATCTTCTTAGTAAATTTACAAAATACCTGCGCTGTGTTACTAATCTCGCTCGCAGATGTTGAGGTGAGGCTAAGGCCTTGATTTGACGAAGAAAAATACGATGTATTTGTCGGTGCCTCCAAAAGGCTGCGCGTTGCTGATGAAGTCCACGGCAATTGATAAGTTGTAGTCTTGTCGCTCTCTCGAATCTCCAAGTTTGAAGAAGAGTCGACTCCATGGCTTCCCAGTCGCTTGCTCCGGCCAAACAGAACGAAAAACTGAACTCGAATACGCCTCGCACCATCGACTACCTCAAGAAATTTTCTCCCACGCATAAGGAAAAGCGAGCTATCCTTGTCTAGTTAATACCTAACAACACACAGACTCACACAGAGAGAGCATACCTACTTCTCAAAGTACAAATTTACTCTCTACTCTTACAGCTCTCTCTCTCTCTCTCTTTCTCATATATCCGAACATACCACCCGCCTTGTTGCGGCCAAGCAACAATCAAATTGGTTTTCTACTAATTCTAAAACACAATTAAAATTCAGCCAAATTCTTTATAATACTGCTCAACTTTATTTAAATATTCTTGAAATTTGAACAAATCTCTCCGACAATCCTTTGAACTCAATCCACATCTTAACCAAATAATAAAAACAAAAAAAATAAAATAAATTTATCACTACAAAAAATAAATACTATAAATAAAGAGTGTGTTTTCAAAAGATCTTACAACAAATTTTAATACAATTAAAATTTTCGCTTTATAATTCGTAATGAAATTGATTAAAATTGACGCAGGATTTCCTAGCAAATACATTTTTTCTACGCATTGCCTGGAGAGTTAACCAACACAACTGACTACCGCCCACCTTGCTCTAGCAACTTACTCCCATTTATTTGAGAAAGAGCGACCCCTAATTCCTGATCAACCGGAAATTTTATCAATTTAATGACTGGTCGCTTGAATTCTGAAGCCGCCGTCTTGACTCTTACCAGTCTCACCAACCCATCAGAGCCAGGGAAACACTCAATCACTCGACCCAATGGCCATCGACCGGCAGGAGATTGCTCATCACGCAAAATCACTACGTCACCTACTTGCAAATTCTTCTTTTCCTTAAGCCATTTACTTCTCTGTTGAAATTGATTCAGGACTTCCTTGCGCCAGCGAACCCAAAAAGAATTGCGCATCTGAGTAAGCAGGTTCTAACGCCGATACAAAGTTAATCGTTCACCCGGATCAGAGCAGGACTCAAGAACGGACAGAGGTGCGGATCCAATCAAAAAATGATCTGGGGTCAATGCCACACTATTCTCACCCTGTGAGTTTAAAGGGCACCAAAGGCTGAGAGTTCAGACAGGCCTCAATCTGTGCTGCCAAAGTCGAAAATTCCTCGAAAGTAAGCGAATTCTCACCCACTACCTTACGCAAATGGTATTTAAAAGATCGAACGGCTGCCTCCCACAGACCGCCAAAATGAGGCGCTCTGAGTGGAATGAATTCCCATAAAATCCCTTGTTCCGCCAGTTGAGCCACAACATCATTTATTTCCTTGAACGCTCCGTTGAAACGGCTCTCAATTTCTCGTGAAGCGCCTCGAAACGTGGTACCATTATCAGTGAAAACACTAATACAAACACCTCTACGAGCAGTAAACCGATGAAACGCTGCAAGAAATGCCTCAGAAGAAAGATCCGACACTACCTCGATGTGTACAGCTCTCACAGTCATGCATACAAAGATAGCCACGTATCCTTTGATCGTTTTGGCCCCGCGACCCTTAGAAAAGCGTATGGGAAACGGTCCAGCAAAATCAACTCCAGTAAAGGCAAACGCTCGAGTTCCATTCAATCGATAGGAAGGCAAAATACCCATTTTTTGTTTAACTACCTTACCAGCATGACGCGTACAAATCACACACTTCCTATAAACACTCCTGATCAGCTTGTTACCATGGACAATCCAACAAAAACGACCCAGATAACTTCGCATAAGCGCAACCCCACCGTGCATGGTAATAAAATGAGAATACTCAACTAAGCGTCGAACCAACGGCTCATCAGCCGGCAATACAACAGGATGTTTTTCTTCAAAAGTCAATACAGAATTTTGAAGCCTTCCACCAACCCTCAGCACTCCGTCTTTATCAATAAAGGGCGCCAAGCGTAACAAACGCGAGATCATTAGTAATGAGCGCTTTCTCTGCAAATGGTCAATCTCACGAGCAAAATGATGGCTCTGTATAAGTCTATAAAAGGAGACACGTGCCGCCCGCCAAGCCCAGGTTCGCGAAGCAATGGTACTCACATTTGCACTCGATACTCGCAGCCCAAGTCGCCACCGAAACATAACTACTAGCACTCTCAAAATCTTTGAATACTTTGATATTTGCCTCAACTTAGTAAGTGTTTCAGATTCTACTTTACCCGAACTCTCTTCTACTTCCTTAGCCACAAGAGATGCCACGGCCTGGGAACCCTCTATGGATGCCGCCGACAGAGATAGAGGAATATCATCACCCAGCCACGCAGGGCCATGCCACCATAATTCACTGAGAGCTAGGCGCGTTGGTGTAACTCCTCGAGTAGCAATATCCGCAGGATTGTTGGCAGACCTCACGTGACTCCATGTGACTCGAGGAAAACGAGTTAATACCTCACTAACACGATTGGCAACAAAAACAGGCCAACGCGACGGATGACTCTTCAACCAGTCCAACACAACCTGGGAGTCGCTCCAAAAGGAAATACTTTTCGGCTTCGTTTTAAGCTGCCAAATAATAAAATCTGTCAAACGAGCAAGGAGAACAGCCCCACAGAGCTCCAACCGTGGAAGCGACTGAGTTTTAACTGGAGCTACCTTGGACTTAGCCATCAACAAAGTAGATTTTCCATCAGAAGTTACACAATAAACTGCGGCAACGTATGCCCTTTGAGAGGCATCGCAAAACCCATGGAGACTCCAGTGTTCAGTCGAAATGACTCCCACTGCACGAACAATCCTAATATCACTCAACTGATTCAATGAATCACGAAATGCCAACCAACGCCTCTCTAAGTCAGCTGGAAGAGCTACATCCCAATCTAATTTTTCAATCCACATGTCTTGCATTAATATTTTTGGCACGACAATTATAGGAGCTAAGAAACCAAGAGGATCGAATAAACGTGCAGTCTCCAATAAAACAAGCCTTTTCGTGATCTTGAAAGAAAGGGTAGGAAGATTAATCTTAAAACAAAATTCATCTTTATTTGGACTCCACTTCAATCCTTAAGCTAAAACAATCTCATCGATATCTACAGAAACCTCCCCTTCTGACAAGCCCTTGATTCCTTCCAATAGTTCAACTGTATTCGACGCCCATTTACCGAGCTGCATACCAGCACTAGCCAACAACGAAACCAACTGATCACGCCGAAGAGTTGCCTCTCCCAAAGTATCAGCACCCGCAAGTATATCATCCACATATACCTGTGACTGAAGAATAGCAACCGCCTCAGGATGCGTTGATTTACCCTCCTCAGCCAACTGCAACAAGGTACGAATCGCTAAAAATGG